TGGCCAGTCCTCTTCAAAAGTATCAAGGTCATGAAAGATGGAAGGACTGAGGAACTGTAACAGATGAGAACAGAAAAAGAACATTAGGGGAAAATCTGGTGAAATCTGAATAAATTTGAAGGTGAAATATGAATAGATTAATTAATAGTATTGTATCAATGTTAATTTCTTAGTTTTGATAATTGTACTATGATTATGTACAACAGTAACATTTGGGGAAGCTGGGTGAAAGGTATATGAGAATTCTTTGTATTAGTTTTGTAACTTTTAAAAAAAATGATTTCAGGGAGGAAGGGAAAGGGATAGAAACATCAAAGATGAGAGAGAATCACTGATCGGCTGCCTCCTGCACACCCCCTACTGGGGATTGAGGCTGCAACCCGGGCATGTGCCCCTAACTGGAATCGAACCCGGGACCCTTCAGTCCACAGGCCGATGCTCTATCCACTGAGCCAAACCAGGTAGGGCATAGTTTTGTAACTTTTTATAAGTCTGATATCATTACAAAACAAAAGGTTTTTTAAATTTTAAAAATTAAAAGCACATATTGCTGTGTCACTCAAGTAGGAAAGAGAAAATATACAAGATAACACCCTTAGATATATTACAAATACATGCAAACAAAATGCTTTGCCAGAACACATACAAAGGTTATATCTTTTAAAATTAGCTTGATTCCCTGAGAATGGCAAATGGGAAAAAAAGGAATCAACCAACTAGTCAAGTCATCATATGAAGAAACCTAAATTGGACCCTAGAAGTTTTTTCTGGAGGAAGTGAGATTGGATTTGAACTTTGCAGGAGAGTGGAGGGACTTGGAGGAATTAAGGGTGGTCTAAACAGGTAATAATGGCAAAATGTGGGAGAGAGCTAGATGGGGCTTGGCGGTAGTGCCAAGAGTCTGCCTTGGTCTAACCAGAAGGAACTGACTAGTCCAGAGGGTTGGGAGTTGAGGCTGGCTGTAGAGGGATTCAAGATGCCCTCAGGGCCAGTCTCCTCTCAGGCTATTCTATCCCCTCAACTACTGCCAGGGGGCACTGTTGGGACTGAGCCCTTTCCTGCCCTTTACCTGGTTTGGGGGCCTAATTCTCTTCTAAGGACCTCCCTGACCCCTGGACGATGGCATCTGCTGTGTTGTCCCGTAATCAGCTCTAGACAGGAGGGTAGGTAGAAGGCCAAACCTTTCCTCTCGACTAGGCTTAGGGTCAGGCTCTCTTTTTTCCCCAACTTTAGTCAGCATCACCATCTGAGCTGTCCTGCTGTGTGACTGCTGTGGTCACCTGGTCAACCTGTAGTTTGGCCTGGCATAGCCCTGATAGCCTCCACACAACTTACCACTGCAGATGAAAAGCTGATTCCAAGGGGAGCAGAAAGGGGCCCAGAAGGAGTGGGCACATTGAGGGTACTCAGGGGGGGAGGAGCTACCTACCCAGGGGCTGCAGAACTGCCTGGGTGCAAATCCTGCTTCCATCAATTGCCTGCTCTGTGGTTTTTGGCAAATTACTTAATCTCTTATAGTCTCAGTTCCTGCATCTTTATATTGAAGGATAAAAGAATAATAGTACTTACCACAGATGGTTATTATGATAATTAAATGAGATTACATAGTGTCTGGCATAAATTAAACTCTCAATAAACATTAGCTGCCATTATTATTACACTAGAAGCCCGGTGCACGAATTCATGCACCAGTGGGGTCCCTTGGCCTGGCCTGTGGGATTGGGCTGAAACCGGCTCTCCGACATCCCCTGAGGGGTCCCAGATTGTGAGAGGGCACAGGCCAGGCTGAGGGACCCCACCGGTGCATGATGGGGGGAAGGGGAGAGAGATGTGGGAGGTTGGCCAGCCGGGAAGAGACCACAGAAGGGCTCCAGGGCGTGTCCAGCCCATCTTACTCAGTTCAGATGGGCCAGACCCCAGCAGCAAGCTAACCTACCGGTCAGAGCATCTGCCCCTGGTGGTCAGTGCACATCATAGCAACTGGTCAATGAGTTGGCTATCTGCCCCCTGGTGGTCAGTGCATGTCATAGCGAGCAGTTGAGTGGCCTATGCATATCATTAGCACATTATGCTTTGATTGGTTGAATGGCCGACTGGTTGACTGGACACTTAGCATATGAGGCTTTTATTATATAGGACTATAGGCCCGGTGAGGTCCCTCAGTGCGGGGATTGGGCCAAAACTGGCTCTCCGACATCCCCCAAGGGGTCCTGGATTGCAAGAGGGTGGTTCTCGGGTGACGCATCCCAGAATTAGGCTCCCTCCTCTCTGGTTCCGGGTGCGTCATCCGAGAACTACAGCTGCCAAATCACTGCAGCTCAGCAGCTCCTGCATTGAGCATCTGCTGCCTGGTGGTCATTGCGCATCATAGCTACGGGTCAGATGGTAGGACGGTCACTTAGGCTTTTATATATATAGATGTTCTCAGTCCTGGTTCTTGGGCTCCCAGAGCTGGAGCAAAACTACCTATAGCTCAGAGGAGATAAGTAGAGCCTGGCAGTGGCTCTGGCTCTGATTTGGAGGAGGTATGTGGGTACTGCAAGGGTGACAGAAAGATAGCAAACCTTTAATTTGTATAACTAAACTATTTTCACACTTTAATGACACACATGAGCATCTTCTGTGAATGTACATTTTAGCTTAAGATTTTATGCTGAAAATGGCTACATACAATTCTTGATCAGGACTTTTCATTAATGATCTCTTCAAAATCTTGATTGTGGCTATTAAAGAGAAATGCTTTTTTTTTTTTTCTCAAGTAGGTGGTGGTAAAAAGTTAAGGATAATTTGTTTTTTTCCCCATTAGCCAGAATTTCTATTTCATTCTTAAAATCATTTAAATCCAGTTGAACAATTTAAGTTTTTAGATGGCTATTCTTTTCCTCGGGATATACACAGATGATACTCTAATCCTTTAATCCAAATTATACCACCAACATTATAGAGAAGACAAGCAACAGTAAAAACTGATCAAATCAAAGCTGGTCTTCGAAAAGACTAATAAGGGAGACAGACCTTTGACAATTTAAAACCCAACACACAGAATGAAAAGGTAGAATAACTATAGACAAAATAAATTTTTTTAAAAGAACAAGTGAATCTTTTTTAAAAACTTTTTTAAATGTTAACATTAGAGGTGTTTCCCCGTCCCCCCCCCCCTTTGACCACTTCCACCCTCCCTCCCTTGGCCTTCACCAAACTATTGTCCATGTCCATGAGATATGCATACATGATCTTTTTAAACCATAGAGGCAATTTCCAAGAGACAGTCCAACATAGGACTGTACTTCTTTTTGAGGTATGAGGGTTTGGTCTTTTCCTCTTGTAGGGATACCAGTTTAGTCTCCTGCTTTCTCTTTTTTAAAAAATTAAATTAGTGGGGTGACAATGGTTAATAAGACTATATTAGTTTCAAGTGTACAATATTATAATACATCATCTGTATATTGCACTGTGTGCTCATCACCCAAAGTTTAGTCTTTCTGTCACCATATATTTGACCCCCGCTTCCTCTCTGGGAACCTCTCTATTGGTTTTCAAGTTTTATTGTGAAATGGGCTAAGCCAAGGGCTGCATTTGAAATCCTTCAGGAATGCTGGACAGCAGAACACAGATGAAACTTTGGAGAAATGACCACTCAGAGGGGCCTTCAAAATCCTCCACCTGGGAAAACCTTCTGTAGCAACCATTTACTTGATTATAATACTCTTTGCAGTATTCATGTGATTTGGTTTCATACAGCTTGATTTTGGACCAATCAGATTTAATAAGGTTCAGCTTCTTTATCACATTCAATATTCTGGTGCAGAAGGTAGAGGAAACTGTACTCCATGGTCACATAATTATCTTTGATAAGTAGAATGTATATGTTATTTATTTACTAGAGGCCCAATGCACAAAATCCGTGCATGGGGGGGAGGGTTGTTCCCTCAGCCCAGCCTGTGCCCTCTTGCAATCTGGGGCCCCTCAGGGGGTGTCTGATTGGGCCTAAACTGGCAGTTGGACATCACTCTCACAAACCATGACCCCTTGCTCCTAACTACCCACCTGCTTGCCCCTTACCGCCCACCTGCTCACTTCTTACCACTTGGCTCGCCGCTCCTTACTGCCCACCTGCTCACTCCTTACCACTTGGCTCACCACTCCTTAGCACTGCTGTGGAGGCGGCAGAAGCTCCCACCACTGCCATTGCATTCACCAGCTGTGAGCCCCACTTCCGGCTGAGCAGTGCTCCTGCTGTGGGAACGCACTGACCACCAGGGGCAGCTTCTGTGTTGAGCATCTGCCCCCTGGTAGTCAGTGAGTGTCATAGTGACCCATTGTTCTGGTTGTTCCAATCATTCTGCCATAATGGTCGCTGGGCTTTTATATATATAAATTTGTGCATCCCATTTTCTCGTTCTCCACTCCCATTTCCAACCCTCTCCCTCCATAGGCAGGTATTCTGATGTGCTTATTGTGATTATCTTTGATTCTATATGTTCAGTCAGTTGTACATATTATTTGGTTTGAAAATTGTGTTTCTGTTAAAATTTTAAATGCACTGAACATATGGAACAGTTTCTAAAACTCGTACAGTTTAAGGAAGAATAATAAAATTCCCATCTACCTGCCAACCATGCTAAGAACTAGAACATTAAAGTATTTTAGAACCCTCCTGTTTCCCTTCACATACCTCTTCTCCTGCCCCAGAGGAAACCATTATCCTGACCTTGATGTTCTCTCTCTCTCTTACTCTCTCTCTCTCTTTTTTTTTCTTTTTTTTTTTTGCTTTTCTTGAAAGTTTTGCTTCCTGTGTAAGTATCCCTAAACAATATATGTTTTTGTTTTGAAAACCTGAGTGGCGAGCACACACCCCACTGGTTACTGAAGTCACTCCTGGGTGAAGCTGCCCAGAAGAAGAGGAGCTGAACAGAACCTCTCAGTCACTGTCTGGCTTCTGCTTCCCGAAGAGGTTACAAGAGCCCCTTCTGGGGAAGTCAGTGGGTGAGGTCACACGGGAGTCCAGGGAACTAAACACGTGGCTCCCCTCAGTCAGTGCACCGGTGGGGTTGTTGTGTGGACCAGAATGAATTGTCTGATAACAATATGGGTTGACGGAGTGGGCCCATCTATCTTCTTCTAATCTCCCCATAATCCCCTTTGCCCCCCAAGAGTAGGTGACAGCAGATCACTTCTGTGGGGTGGAATGCCTGTCCGCTCCGGAGCTGGGCTGCTGCTGTGCTTGGAGGGAGGGCTTGCAGGAGCTTTGGCAGCACGTGGTCAAGGTTAGCTAAGTACAGGTACTGTGAGTCAGGCTCACCTGGGCATTCTGTCCTCGGGTTAACAGATGACAGGTGGTGTTGTTTTCTCCTTAGCGAAGAGCAGATACTAAAGGATGAATGTCATGGAGTGGGTGACCTAAGACAAGGGAATATACACTTTATTTTTTCTTTCACCCTTTCTTGTTTATTCCGTATTATCCACATTCCCATCCCTCCCCAAGCCCTGCCATATAGGTATGTCTTTGAATGGGTTTATTCCACAAATATTTATTGAGCATCTACTAAATATTACTATGCACTGTTCTTGGAACTGGGGATACAACAGTGAACAAAACAAAAGGCCCTGCTTTGTGGAGCTTACAGTCTATTGGGGAGAGACAGACACTAATCACAATAAATAAATATGAAATATTTCAGGTGGTGATCGGTGTTTTGCAGAAAAACATAAGACAAAAAAAGTAAGATAAGGGGATAGACAGTGCTGGTGAATGAGACCAATTTAGATATGCTGGTCAGGGAATGCTTCTCTAAGGAGCATTTGAGAATACTGGATGTGGGTGGGCAAGTCATCAGATTATCTGGGTAGAAGAGTGTTCCCGGCAGTGAGAACAAGTACAAAGCCAATGAAGAGGGCGGGTACTTGTCAGTTTGAGTAACAGCAAGTAGGCCAGTGTGGCTGGAGAAGAGTGAGTGATGGGGAGAATGACAGGAAATGAAGTCAGAGAGGGGTTGAGGTCCAGAATGTGTAGAGACTTTTGGGACATGGTGAGGGCTATGGCTTTTATTCTGAGGAGCTGGGAGCCATGGGAGAGTTTTGAGCAGAGGAGGGACATCATCTGGTAGGGATTTTTAAAAAGAATTTCAGATAAGAATTAGTAATAGGTATTACAACACTAGGCAAAGAAAAAAACAGACAACTACTAAGAAAACAAAGAGGTATAAAACAAAGGATATATAATCAGAGTATACTCTGTGGTTTAGATATGAACAATATTTACAATGTCATACTTATGCAAACAGTGATCATTGGTTGAACAAAAATTGTATAAAATCTTTAAAGAAACAGGAGATGCAACCACAAAGATGAGCAAGCAACAAGAGATTATTAGGGTTGAATTAGAAAGTGAAATATATGGAGCTTATACAAATGAAAAATGCAACTGTTGAAACAAAAAACTCAGTGGACAGATGAAACAACAGATCAGACACAGCTGAAGAGTTAATTGGTAAAAATCTGGAGAAATTGCCCAGAATGAAGTGCAGGAAGACAAGGAGACAGAAAACATAAAAAAGATGTTGAGATATGGAAGATATAATGAAGAGGTAAAAAATATGACTAACTGGATTCTGAGAAAGAAAATATATAAATAATGGGAGAGGGCAACATTTGAAGAAATAATGGCTGAGAATTTTCTAGAAATTATGGGGAAAAAATCTAGAGGCATAAAGCAAGTGCATTTCTAAAGTAGAATAAATGAAAAAGAAATACATGCCTAAACATTTTAGAATGACACTGAAGAGCCCCCTGTACATCTCCCTCTGAGAGAGAGAGAGAGATCTTAAAGGTAGCCAGAATATAAGAAAACAAAAACACCTACAAAAACAGCAATTAGACTGGTAGCAGACTTCTAAATACCTATAGCACTGTCATTTAAGATGAGGATAAAATTACATTTGCATATAACAAAGACTGGGACAATTTAACACCAAGAGACCTGTACTAAAAGAGCATCTAAACACTGTATTCATAATGAAAGAAAATGATCCCAGAATGATGGTCTGAGATGCAAGAATGTATGCATGAAAATCCAAACACTATGCATATAAAATTATACTAATGATAATGTAGAATTTATGAGGTTAGAAAAAAGGAACAAACTCAACACAATAGGATGTGGTCAAGAAAGAAATGCCTACAGTTGAAGGTTCCTGTGTTCTTGAAGATGGAGGTTAAAATACTGTTTAACTTTAGACCTTATAAATTAAACATGCGTGGTAAAATGTCAAGGATAACCACAAAAAGAATAGAAAAAATGTAAATTCCAAACAGTAGGGAGGAAAATATTGCATAAGAAAGCAAACACTACAAATCTTAAAGCTGAAAAAGCAAGCGAAAGAAAGAAAGAAAGAAAGAAAGAAAGAAAGAAAGAAAGAAAGAAAATGAAGCATAGAAAAGATGTTGGTAGGAAATAGAAATAAAAAAGTATAATGGTAGAAACAAGCCCAAATATATCACAATAAATGTAAACAGATTAAACTTGCCCGTTAAAAAACAGAGATCACCAGATTACCTTAAAAAAAAAAAAAAAAAAAAAAGGTCCAGCTATATGCCATTCCCAAGAGGTATAATTGAAGCATAAGAGCATGAAAATGTTGTAAAGTAAAAGGTTGGAAAATTATATGCCACATAAATCCTAACAAGAAGAAAAGCTTGTGTTGTTATATTAATATAAGGTAAAATAGACTTCAAGGAAAAATGCATTATCAAGAATAGAGAGGGTCATTACATATTTATCAGGAATATATAACAATTCTTATTTTGAATAGTCCTAATAAAATATTCTCAAAATATATAAAATTTTAAAAAAGAACTACAAGAGAAATAGATAAATCCACCATCATAGTTGAATATTAATACACCTCTTACAATAACTGCTATATAATGACACCAAAAAATCAGTATAGATATAGAAAATTTGAACAATACAACTAACAAGCTTGATAATAGACATATGTAGAACTCTGTAAACAATTAGAGAACATACATTCTTATAAAGCACACAGGAAACATTAAAAAATATTGATCACGTACTAAGCCATAATCAAGTCTCAATAAAATTCAGAACTGTTATCACAGACAACATCCTCTGACCATAATGCAATTAAGATAGATTTCAATAACAAAGAGATAAAATTAAAAATCACCAAACATTGAGAAATTTAAAAACACACTTCTATATAACTCACAGGTCAAAGAAGTAACCATGATGAAAATGTTAAAGTACTCGGAACAGAACAATAATGAAATAGGACATGTCTGAACTTATAAAAAGCAGTATTTAGAGGGCAATTTATATCCTTAAATGCACAAATCAAAAAACAAGGAAGGCTGAAGATTAATGAGCTCAGTATTCAATATAAGAAATTAGAAAAAGAACAACAGAATAAATCCAAAAAATGTGGAAGGAAGGAGATCAAAAAAGATAAGAGCGGAAATTAAAGAAATAGAAAACAAAGACATAATAGAGAGAAGCAACAAAGCCAAAAGTTGGTTCTTTGAAAAGACTAATAAAATAGATAAACCTCTGGAGAGATTGATCATGAAAAAAAGTGAGAAGGCACAAATAACCAATAACAGCAATGAAAAAGGAGACATAACTACAGATTATGTACAGCAGAGAATCAAAAATAAGGGAAGTTGATGCCAATAAATTTGAGAATGCAGGCAAAATAGATCAATTCCTAGAAAACTTTAACGTACCAAAACTGACTCAAGAAGAAAAAGAAATCCTGAATAGTCCTCTATTAAAGGAATTGAAGCAGCAGTTAAAACTCTTTCTACCAAAAGTAAATGAACGAATGAATAAATAAATAAACAAACAAATAGCAGAAGGCAGAATTTTCTAGTTGATATGTAGATTACAGGTAAGTAAAGAGATACTGATTCCCTCAGCCCTAATGGTGTCCATGTAGAACCTAAGGCAGTGGAAACCCTAGGCAGGCTGCCTCTCTCTATGGGCAGCCTCCTGTGGAGATCCTTAGAGGGTGACCCTTAGTGAAATGTGGTCTGACAAATCCCTCTCCCGTACCTGCAGGAGGTGAGCACGAATGAGTAACATCCAGCACTCAGTTACTGCTCTGTGATTAAGTGTGTTAAGCAGAGCCGAGCTCAATCACATGGACAGCCTCTTCAGTAGACAGTTTCTGTAGTCTTCTGCTCACTGAGGACAAGGGATCTGTGGAGCTGCTGGAGGAGTCTGTGTTCCAGTTGCCAAGAAACACCATACACAGCCAAGTTGTGACTAGTTGGGGTGGGGTTGGGTGCAGGAAGGCCAAGCAGGGGCTTCTAGAGAGTGTAGCTCCTGGTAGAAGCCCTGAAACTCTGTCTTCATGAATATCAGATACTTTTATTCATTTGAAGCTGATGAGCCCTTTTAATGGTGTCCAAGCTAGCTGCAGGGCTAACAATGATGGATGTTCTGCAAATAAGAGCTTCATCATTATTTTGAAATAATTTATATGAAAGAGTTCAATTGTTTTGAAATCTAATCACATTATCGCAAGAAATTTTAACAATATATTCTTCAATAAAACAGAAAGAAAAGCTGTCAGATACCATTTCAGTTGTTGAACATTTTTGAAGACTTTAAAAATTGGTTTTAAATACTTTATCAGCTACTTGTACATAAATTTTTCTTGATCGTGACTACTGAAAATTTGAAAGAACACATCATTAAAAAGTCTTGGTCAGAATTTGGGTGTATCCATTTCAAGCATAAACCTAATATAAAAATAAACATGTTATTCAAGCAGTTTTCAAATTTTTCATTTAAAAATCTGAAAAGACTCCCAGTCAAGGCACATACCTGGGTTGTGTGTTTAATCCCGTGTGGGGGGCGACCGATCAATGTTTCTCTAAAACATCAATTTTTTTCCTCTCTCTCCCTTTCCTTTCTCTAAACATGTCCTTAGGTGAGATTAAAAAATAAATAAATAATGAAAACAAGAACTTAAAAAAAGTTGGCAGAGAACTCAGGGTCCACATACAGGGTGGAGCAAAAGTAGGTTTAGAATTTTAAGTACGTAAAAGTTTATTTGTGTATTATTACATTATTTTCCATATGAACAACTGTGAGCTGCTCTTGCCACACCCTGTAATAAAGGGAATACAGAATTCACAAGTAAAGGGCAACAAGAAAAATAACAACAACAACCACACATGCACAACCCAGAACAACAACAAACTTTGAGGGTGGAAGAGTCTGATACCAGAGTTGTTAGAGTATCTAAAATGACCAGTTTTTTTTACAAAAAAAACCCCCAACAACTGTGAGACATGCAAAGAAACAGTAAATTATGTTACATATATGGGGAAAATAGCAGCCAAAAGAACATGTCCCCAAGGGGGCTAATATT